CTGCAAGATGCTATCCTATCAATATGGGCCAACATTTCTAAAGAATGCTTTCAGCACCTTGTTGAATCAATGCCACGTAGAATTAAAGCAGTTCTAAAGGCGAAAGGGGGTCAAACACCGTATTAGTATGGTGTTCCTAATAATCCTTTAGGTGAGTGTATATATAGAGTTAGCATTCATAAAAGTCGAGTGACTTGACTGTAACATGGGACACACACACACACTACATGAGGAATACAGACTCGAATGCGTTTCTGTTTGGTTGACGCAGGTTATCCTGCAACAGCTGATTGGAGGGAAATAAGCTGACCACCCGCCTTTGACACGCTGGTGATGAAATCATGCTGGTCTGTGAATTCACTCTGCTCTTGCCAGTGGCCTGGGGTTCGTCTCTCCCCAAAGGTGGTGGTGGGGGGGGGGGGGGGTGCTCACTCATCAGATGTTGGCTGCCTCAGCTAAAGTGACGTGAGCTCGCTGATGGGGGCTCACTGTGGTGTGCTGCCCTTCCCTCTGTTTAGTCCGCTATGCTGAAAGCCGCTACTCGCAGCCGGAGAAGAATCCGGAACTGCGGCCCGAGCCAGCAGGAACGCTGGTGCGAGTGCAGCTTCGTGACTTTTTGCAGACTGAGCTTTCGTTCACGCTTCTCCGGGCACCATTGTCCCGACTCTCGATCTGCGTGTCCGTCCCCTGGGAGATGCCCATGTGTATTCCTAAGAAGCGTCGCCCTGCCATTCAGACACTGGGTTTTGGCGACGCCGTGTAGGACCATCGTGGTCCGAACAGCACTGCCTCGGCCTGCTTGTTACTTTTTCAAAAAGCAGTGATGGGTTTTAACTGGCAGCTTGGTTATCAATGTGCAGGGGGGGGGGTATTGTTAAGTGGGGTGGTGTCATTTTGTGGCTAAATAATAGACGAATATCAGCAGGATGTATGCAGTGATCAATAAATGACTCCTTAACTATTTAAAAATGCTATTCTGACCCCCCCAAGTCCCTAACGCCCGGGTCTGGCTTCCTCTGAGCCTCAGAATCACCGCCTGGTTGTGAAGCGGCCTCTGGCCTCTCAGCTGGGCGCCGCTGACTCCAGCAGCCTTCTGGCGTCCTGCCTCCAGCCCATTCCATAACTGCTGTGGGGATTTCGGCTGAGGGGCCTGCCTGAGCAAGCCAGCGGGTGACTCAGCCGCATGTCCCCCCACCCCATCCCTCTATCCCTCCATCACTCCTCAAACGTCCTTCACTCCTCCCCCGGACCACATGGCGCACGGAGTCTGGTGAGGGTCGCGGTGACCGACTGACACGCGTGGTGCAGGTGCTACGGCCCAGGCCGAGATCCCGGAGTTCAGCAGGGTGGGGGGGTGGGGGCACGTCTGGGATTTGATGTCCTGAAAATTATGAACCAGAAAATGTCTGTTTGTTTGGAATCATGCAGGCCCAGTCTTCTGGCTGCGGACGTGTGTTCAAAAACAGATGCTTCCCATTGTAGCACTACTTTCTTCAGGGAAGTGTGAAAATGGCACATTTTATCCCACGTGAAGGAATGACAGGCTGTTAACCCATCCACACCTTAATTGCCCCTGTCTACACCCTAAGTACCTTTGTTTCTGACAGCATCCTTAGATGAGCCTTGGGGGGCATCCTTAGGTCTTCAAATATGCGTATGAAAAGGCTATAATGAATTTTATTAAAGAATTGTGGACCTTGGTGCTCACGGTGGGGGGGGCTAAATGCCCCTCCCCCTGATAAATGTGATGTCTGTTTTGCAATGAGCTCACTCCTCATCTCGTCCTGTCCCAGGCACAGTCCAAGCCTGTTGTCCCCTGAGTCCGCAGCAGCTGAGCTCCCCTTGGTTCCCAGGGTGTCCCCCCTTGGCAGCTCGTTCTTGCACTAATTACCAGCCGGTCTGTTCCTCACGGATGGATCCCAGTGGATGAACCTCTACCGGTTCATTGTGGCAGATGAGATGTGTTCCGTTCCGGAAGTAGCACGTCTGCCAGATGTAATTCGGAAGTTGTCCTTAGTCCAATTTACCTGATGTTACTCACCTGTAAGGTTAATGTGGTGAATCTCGTTTCTTTGTGGTCCTAAAATTGCAAATGCTGGTGGATTATTGGAGGGGAAAGTCCCAAGACACTGAAATGAATACTGAAGCTACTATGAACCACCTGCCCTTCTAGCAAGGAGGAGGGGTCTACATGAGTATTCTGTGGGCTTATGGTGCCAGTCAGCCGGTGACATCCCATTAGGCCGGAGAACAATGGGAAGTTGCTGAGTCACCCTTCAGTCGGGTGGCGTCGGTGGGCCCGCTCAGACACAAGCATCTGGCTGGTGGCCCACGTCAACTACACTAACCTCTTAGAAAGTCCCCTCTCGGTGTCGTCTTGGTGACCCCCCCCCTGGCCCGGGAGCCGTAAACCTGCCGTGTCTCTGTGCTGCCAGATGAGTGTGACTTATGACATGTTTTTATTAGGTTTGTTCAGTTTGGGGGGGGCGGTGAATGGAGAGGATGTCTCACTGACATTATCTTATTTTTTTGGGGGGGGGGGGTTGTGCATGCCTTCACCTGATATGTAACACTGTCTCCCTGATGTCCCCCTGCAGTGAACAGAGCATCTGTCAGGCACGGGCTGCTGTCATGGTGTATGACGACGGCAACAAGAAATGGGTCCCAGCTGGGGGCTCTGCGGGCTTCAGCCGGGTCCACATCTACCATCACACGGGGAACAACGCCTTCAGGGTGGTGGGTCGGAAGATCCAGGACCATCAGGTGAGCGGGACTGCTTGGACAGACTGGTGGGTGGGTTTCAGGGACATTCCACCTTGTGGCTCATGGTGGAGATTCTTGCCCGGGTTGCTGTCCCGCAGACTGCAATATTATAATGACATATTATACATTACCGGCCCTTTCTATACAGTTTTTTTTGTGAATTGTGGATATTCTTCCTCAGTTTTGTTCTCATTTGACCTTTTGGGTTCTGCATGGATAAAAATGGTGTACCGCTTTTTGTTGTTGTTGTTGTTGTTGATGCTGAATTTGCTGTGTAGCTGGCCAGATCGCTGTACGATTGCCGCCCAAGTTCTTCTAAGCTCACCCTCAAGAGGTTGCATTTGGGTGGAGACCTTGTCTACCTTTTATGGCCTGTGGGACCTTGGTGGCTGGGATTCTCCTACCGTGGTCCACGGTTGCACGGGGAGTGCAGGAGTGACTCAGTATCGTGTTGGGCCTGGGGGAGCAGGTCTGGTGTGCGATATTTTACACTTGAGGCTGGATCATTGACGAGGGGCAAGATCCGCAAAACACATCCGGCTGTATTTACTGCTGAGCCAAAATGAATGGAAAAGGGTGTGTATGAGTTTAGGACTCCATTAGATCCATCTGCTTGAGAAGAGGCAAGCAGCTGCACATGATGACAGGCTATTAACCCCATCCATGCAGCTTTCAGTATGAGTTCCAGTTTGGAAACAGCAAGACATATGTGTAATCAAGTCTTGACACCTCATGCAGACACATGTTTGTCAGACCCTCTTCAGAGTGACTTGAAGTTGAGTGTAAATAGGCAGATTAATTTTATGTACTTGATATAAGTAGTTCTCCTTTGAATGAGATTTACGATGTAGCTGGACTTCATGACTGGAGTGCAGGTTCAAAACGTTCGGAGCACCGTTCCTGAAGAGTAGCTAAGGTCAAAAGAGGTCAGATTTTGATTACTTTTTTGATTTGAGTATCAGTCAAATGAGCTCTTTTTACTACTGATTTTGCACTGTTGATGCCCTTCCTCTGAAGAACCTTGCAAGTTTTTATTGGCTTATGCAAAACATGTGAGTAAATTCCAGTTCCTCAGCCTACAATGTTTGTTTTAAATCTGTGTAAGTGTGTGGATGATGGGGCTAGAAATACTGTAGGTGCTTTTTTGAATCTAAGTGCTGCAGTCTAAGTATGGGTAGTAGTTTTTCATGGTAGCTGGGAGGCGGGCGCAGGTTGATGGGTTTTGGAATCATCCGTAAATGTAGTTCTCTGCAACTCACCCTGAGTGGATGACTGCAGGTCCCAGTCTACGTGGGAGTCGCGATAGCTTGGAATGTATCAGTGTCACCAACTGGTAATTCCAACCAATCATCAGTTTCAAGGCTGAGGCTTAGTTCCTCCGTCGACCAATGGTTTTATTTGAAAGGTAAACGCTCATCTAGAATATGGGGTTTGTCCCATAACAGCATTACAAGATTAGCTTTCTTGATTGTAAGTTTTTATAAACACTGTTTAGTGTTTCAGTTGTTTTGTTTAGCCCAGAAGGAGAGCTCAGTGAAATGGCATTCATTGCCTCATGTTCGCCGTGAACCTTTTGTTACCTTCTAGTTGGTCTTTCAGGGGTCTGCTGGCATGGTGAGCTTTTACCTATGCAACCAACTCCCTCCAAAGAATTTCACCGTGGAGGACATGCATGGCTCTGTCAGGCTGTCATGGAAACTGCTCACCTAGTTTGACTGTTTTCCCTTCTATCATGACGTGTGGAGAATACTCATAGGCCTCAAAGCCTCTTTCTTTCCATGTCGTGGTCTAGGTCCACCTTCTTTCAGAGTAGTGGCAAACTCACAGGGTGTTAGTAGCCTGTTTGCCATGAGCTTTAGCGTCTAGCCCAGATTTGCAGCAAAAAGTGTGGTCCGTTTGAAAAGGGGTCTGTTTCGTAGTTCGGTTGGGCCATTGGTATGTTGGTTGGTCGGTTGGTTGCTTGACCGACTGCAGTGGTGCTTCAATGCAACTTTGTTCAGCCCAGTAACTTGGGAAACTGGCTCGCTGAAGCATCTCCGCAGTGCCCAAATGCAGCTGTCAGGCCGGGGAGCTGGGAGAGACTGATCGCTGCCTTGAATCCCATTTGTTCTGCTTTTTGTCATTTATAGACCTGGGGGGGGGGGGGCAAAGTGATTTCCAATCTCATCAACCGCCGGCCTGGAAAGCAGACGTATAGCCATGTATCCGTTCAAACTGCCTTCGCTGCCTGAAAGTAAGCCGGTCTCGCGACTCTCGTTTTTGTTTGCTAAACCCAGTAGCAGCGTTAATGGGAGAGGGCTGTCTGCTGGGGGGTATCGTTTGTACAGGGTCGGCCTGGGTGTCACTCGGGGGAGGTGGGGTGTGAGAAAGGCGAGCCTCGTGAAAAGGCCCAGAGTGCCATCTTGCCGTTCCGGTTCTCGATGTGCCATGTTGGCTTCTCATTGAGCCGGATTAGCGCCTCCTCTGTTGATATTCTTGTTTCACGTCTTTGAACCAGCTGATCGACAGGGTTTTAATTTTTCCCGTGTCTCCCAGTGATTCTGAGGGGGGGGGAACGTTTTGCAATCTGCTATTAAAAATGTGATTCATCACCTTGGTGTGCTACCTACTATCACCGTCAGGCTTTGTTTAGATGAAGAACCACAGTTATTGGTCTGGTCGGGGTTAATGTGAGTCGTTGTCCTGAATCACCCACCGTCTATCAAATGCTGGTGAAAAATTGGAAATTCTCACCTTGGGCATGAAGACAGGAAAGCTGGACGCTCCTGTGCCTGTATCAGTAAAATGATAACGTAATAGTCATGCCATAGTCGCATCTCCATGCTTGTTTTCATGGCGAGCGGTTCATTTGAAGACAGATGGCCCATGTTTGTTCAGGAGGCCAACCAAAGGCTCCCATCAGAGATGTGGTGGTTTAACACGACTACGTGTTAAAGGCCCTTCCAGGGGACCTCGGCAGAAATGCCTCTGGAATTCCGTTTTTGCTGACGGAGGCAGAGCACGCCTTCGCTTCGTTTTGATGGTACTTTTTTATTGGTAATGTTTTGTTTCTGAGCTCATGGGGAGAGGAACAGGTTGTGCTGCTTTGTTTTTCTACGGAGAATGCCAGGAGGCTAGATGAAAGTAACACTCTTCTCAGGAACTCATCGCCGAATTCCCGAGGAGTTAGATAAGTGCCAAGGCCGGGTGATTAGAGGTCCACGTGCAATATTGGTGAATGTCTCCCGTTAGTGTAATTAAGAGCATGATGAAAATTGGCTGTGAAACATGACACTGTGGTTTAGGAAGAGCTCGGAACACACCTGTTACCTGGCAGGCGGGATGGATTGGGGGGGGGGGGGTAATTTTCTAGCAGCAGGCCAAAGTAGTAAAGTGAAGTCCCTTTTTTTTTGGGGGGGGGGGTACTCTTGCTTCTTTGCAGCTTTGGACATTGTGGGGATGGGGGCGCATGGTGAAGAAAAATCATGCCTAAAATGTTTTTGTATATTTCCCAAAATTTCAGGGAAAAGACGTCTCCTGTGAAATCAGCTGTGGAGACTTGGGGGGCCGTCCCTGTTTCTGTGGCAATGGAGGGCTTAATCGGCGATGCGGACTCGGATAATTGTGGGGACGTGATGGATAGCCTGTGCTTAATGAGCTGGGACCTTTTAGACTGTTCCATATGTGACAGGTGGGGGAGGGGTGATCAAACGTGAATGGGGTTTGGTTCTAGTCTAACTGTGCTGTGTTCACTATGCGGCATCTTAACACAGCATAAAGTACAGGGCATGTGTAGGTATAACCTTCTGATTTCATTGTTTATCTCATTTGGTGAATGACAAAGCAGAATGACCGGGTTAATTAGGTAATTGTGGGAAGAGGCGGTGGCAGAGATTGGTACCTGTGAGTCGATTCGGGGCCCCAGCCATATGGCGCGATCTCACTGCAATTTGTCCCCCTGTAGGAAACCCATGCACTTCAATGAGTTGCAATGTCCACACGTGCAGAAACTGCAACGGCTTGCATTAGCATGCACTTGGTTAGCACTCTGTGTGTGTGCACTGGCATCGCCACCGTGGACTGTCTGTGACCTCGGAGTGATGAAGGGGGAGGGGCCGGCATGTCTGTTACCGATCCGCATGTCCCCATGTCGGCCGCGTGAGCTTACGTCCGCTTATCAGCGCGGAGCAGCACGGTGTGTGATGAGCATTGCTGTCCCTCCGCAGACTGGCTGCTCCTGATACCGCATCAGTCCTTGAATTTTAAACGGGGCGCACCCTATGGTCCTGAAAGTAGTCGTTTTTTTGGGTTTCAACTCTGATTGGGGGGGGGGGGGTATGAGGATGGTAGATCCATGCAGGGGGTTTAGCACTGAAGGAGATTGATGACCTGCCATCCAAGGTTCTTCAGGGTCTTGCCATGTGAGTGTTAATGTGTTTCCCACAGATGTTGCACCCAGTTTCCATCCATCAGTATTGTCATACACTAAAATGCACTGTCAGATTGTATAGTGTGTGTGTGTGTGTGTGTGTGTGTGGAGTGTGGGGGGGGGGGGAATTGCATGTTTTCCCTGTGTCACCTGGATTTCCTCTGGGTACTCGCGGTTCAGAAATATGCAGTTAGACCAGTGCTGCCCAGTTTGGGGGGGGGGGGGGGGGGGTGGTGGGGGGGGGGGGGGAGCATGGATGAGCTTTTTCTGCCTCACGACTTCTCTGGGAGCCTCCGTTTTGAGGGCTCCTTGTTGGGGTAGCTGGGCTTTCCGGCGCCCTTCAGGTACCAGACCTGCCTCTGAATCGCCGGTTTCCACATGCCTCCTTGCTCTCCCCTGTTATGGATAAACATCTATGATTCCAAGCCTGAGACGGTCACCGTGGAAACATCCCATACATCTGCGCTCTCCCTTCCAAATTCTCCATTTGTCATTCATGGTTCGGAAAATTCCTGCCATCTTTTCTGTGTTGGACTCTGAAGCAGCCTAACATCGACCCTTTAATCGCCTGATGGGGATGCGCTTAATTATGCAGATTGCTGGTAATTATACACGGGCCCGTATATGGAGCCGTCACCGAGTGCTGTCTGGCCTTTTGTTTTCGGAAGAGGCGACGTCATGTCCAGCTGTCACCGTTGAGCTCCGGTGTCATTTTCACCCCCCATCCCACCTGGCACCCCAGCCCCCCCATCTCAGTCCCACGCTGGTGTCTGCCTGCTCTGCCCCAGCTTTTCTGCCCCATGAGTGTGTTGTCGGTGTGCACTGACCTGCCTCAGGCTGTTGCTGGGCCTGTTAGGCTTTCTTGGACACTCCTGGCTGTTTCCCCTCCGTGGACTCGCTTGCTGACTAAGCGTAGCTGCCTCCTGAGTTGTCTGGGCTGTGAGAGATGTGGGCCTCTCTGGGCCAGTCCTGCCGGACGGACCTCAGTGCTCCTGGGGGGGGCAGGGAGGGTAGGGGAGGCCCAGCCACTGTCTGTCTGCATTAGGCTGTTTATAGGTGGCGGAGATGGACTCTGTTCTGCTTGGGGTCTCCCCGCTGTCACGCGGTCGTAGGGACGCCGACCTGCCCTGGCTGCTACGTTCATTGATCTGGTCGAACATTATTCTAGTTGCATTCTCACATGGAGACGGAGTTGTTCTCCCCTCCCCCCGACATTCCAGGACCAACACTGGGCCTGACTGGCTGCCTGCGCCATGTGCAGTATGTGAAGGACACAGGGTTAGGGCCGCAGGGGCACACAGCTGATTGGTTTCTGGAGTGCCCCCTCCTCTGTCACTCACTGCTTCGAGGCACATCATTGGCTAACGCTAATGCCTTAAAAAAATAAAAATAAATCCTAGATTTGCCCCTGGGTGCACTTTGACTCTCATCCCAGACCGGACCAAATCCGACCCGATGTGGTTACGTTCAGTCTGTATCAGAAGGAGGACAAAACTAGAAGTCATGTCCTCCCCCATCTTGAAGGAAAATGCAAGAATCAGCCCTCGGAGAGACGTGCTTCCCAGACCAGCCGTCTCTTCTGGCCCTTAAAAGTAAACAGAACGTAACTAAAATCCCTTTGAAGCCTCAATTTGGCAAATCTTTCTGAACGGGGACTGGCCTGAGCACCTGACCATCGCTCATACACTCGTTTTGGGACAGGGCTGTCATTTTGTCAGACTGACTCCTTAGGTTCATTGAGGTATCCTGTGAATAATTGGCCAGATGGTTATTCTCCCTGTGTGACTGGCTGCATATTGAGTACAGTGGTTTGAGCGAGCAGCCTGACAAACCCTGCCTCTCATTGTAGTTAAAATGGACTAATTGAACACAGTCCTCCAGGGCTTACATTATTGCTTGAGAGATTTCCTGCATTTTTCTTTGTTCTCATGTTATGCTGAAATGTCAGTCTTTCTGCTTTTTGTCCTTCAGTAGCTCTTGCTGGCTCTGATTTACACACTGATGCGCCTAATCGATAGAAAGGATGCATCTATACAATGAAACTGATGGCAGTTCTACTCAAGCTCAAATTGCCCATCTTTTCCCCAAAGCCCTCTGTTGGTGGTGGGTGGTATTGCAGGAAATCGGGGAATTCAGTGCGGTTTTGACCTCTGGGTCTTTTTGCTTTCAACAGGGAATAGATATGCCTGTTCTTTCGTCCTCGCTACTCTTAATGTGCCATAAATGTGCCCTGGGGTCTGACCTGCTAGCTGTAGCTTACTTGCTGTAGCCCCACAGATCTGCAGTCTTGCTGATAAACCACCCCCCCCCCCCGCCTTCTCCGTAGCGTGTCACCTGCCGTCAGGGTCGGTGGCCTGACCGCATGCAGGTCCGCTCCCCTGTTTTCCGTCCTGGCTAATTTTAGCCTGCAGTCACAGGGCCAGAGTCGGCCATGCCGTCATCCTGGAGCCAGCCGGCCGCGGGCTTTTCTCCGTGTGATCTTTTTTTAAAATAAGCGCTGTTGCTGGCTGCAGGCAGAGGATGCTCCGGTGGGGGTAGGGGGGTTGAGGCTCGTGTGAAATGCAGTCCCTGGGAGACTGCGTGCGCCTTGTGTGGGAGGCTCTCTATATTTGGATTCCGTTAATTCCAGTGTGTGGAAAAAATTATTCAAGTCACGTCGCATTAGTTGTGCCGTCGCACTGCAAGCTGTGGCCATTAGGGGGCGCTCTCACAGATCCTCCTTTGACAGACAGCACGCGGGAGCTGGGTGGTTGCTGGGGTTGACGCTGGGCTGAAGCCTGGGAATAGAACAGTGGGAATTTTTGTGTTGACGGGGAGCATGCTTCGCTGTCATTGGCCGGCTCCAGCTGGCTGTCAGTCATATCAGTAGTGGAGACCCTGTTTTCTTTCCATTCCTCTCTCTCCCTCTCTCTCTTCCCTCCTTCTCCTTTGAGAGACCCCCCCCCCCCTATTTTCTTTTTATAAAGGAATTACATCTCTCCATTGGGGGGAGGGGGTGGCTCCGTAATACTGGCATTTCCTCATTGTCCTGAATTGTCCATGTGACAGACCTGTCATATGCCAGCACACGGATTTGTATGTCACCTGTATGGTATAAATACTTTGTTTTGACACACTGCTGACAGTGGATTACTTGCAAACTCTATTGGATGATAGACCCCCCCACCCTCACCCCTGTCGGTCAGGGTGACTCCAAGGCCCAGCATTCCCCCCCCCCCGGTCACTGTTTGTGTCTATATGTGTCCCTCCCCCCCCAGCTTTGTGATGCTCACTGAAGATGCCCCAGCGAGGCTGTATCTCGGCAGGGTCCCGTCTCGTGACGGCTGGCGCCGTTCCTGCGCCGAAAAGAGCGTGTTTATGCAGCCGTGAGACGCCTGGCATGTTTGTTTACCCCCCACCCTCATCTCTCGTGACACCATGTGACCCTAATTGCATCAACGGCCCAATAAAGGCGAGAGGAAGATCCGGCTGCTGGCCCAGTTTTTGTTTACCAGAGCTGCGTGTTCTTTGACAGTCCTGCCGTTGGTGATCCCCTTAAACGCCGAGACCAAGCTTTGCGTCCAGGTCCTCGCAGACACACGCTGATTCTCCGCACAACCTCGGCCCAGAGGGAGGGTGCTCATCCACTGGTCCCCGTGCAACGTTATTGGCTGGGTCGGTGCCTCTGTCGGTTCCGCGGGGCGACACCTCGCGTCCAGGCTCGCCGATCGTGTCGTCATGCCCGCTCCGCGGGTTAGCCGCTTTCCTCCTCAGAGGATCAGCCGAGCGGACATCATTCTGAGGAGTGAGTAGCTATGCTGAGGGGGTGTGGTCAAGGTTTGATGACTTTTCCTTCACTTGGCTTAAATTAAAGGGTTCGCTTGTGTTTACATCGGGCTGAAATCGCGTAATATGGCCGCTATACCCATTTTTCCTGCATTCCTCACTAATCACAGTAGACTGTGTGAAATGTTTAATTCATTGGCTCTTATTAGCTGCTGTGTCATTGCCTGGTGGTGTTTTATCGGAAGTAGGGAGTGTTTTCAAGCTTTTGCTGTCTCACTGATAAATATATGTGAATGCTCATCGCTGCTTAAGGCGAATGATGCACAGCGTGATCTATCCCAGGCTAATGTGCGAGTCTGATACCCCTGGGCTGCTTACTGAACTATAGCGTGAGGCTTGAAACATGCTTTCAGAAATGTGACTTGGAGCACGATGCACTGGTGTGTAACCATGTGCTCGAAGTTTTAGCTGAACTTTCCTAATTGCTGGCACTGAGCTCATGCTGGTGGAGATGCCTGGCTACAACTCCCAAGGGCAGCTACTGTATATCAATCAAGCAACCTCTCGCTCCCATTCCTCTAACTGAAGTCTGGGTGTTGATTGGTTCTGGCAGTACCGTACAGGGCCTGCTATTGGATGGCTGCTCTGAACTCTGATTGGCTAGTCCGAGGTCTTCCGCAGGAAGTATTGTATAGCAACTAATACAGTCTACACTCGTGTGTCTCCATGGTCTCTGCATTTTACCCCTTTAAGGGGTCATGGATGCAGTTATCTGATCTCGGCTCCTTTTTTTTGTGAATGGTTCTGAAGTTTTCCGGCTGCATCTTTTTGGCGAGGGCAGCCATGCTTGTTGTAAAGCATATTTGTAAACTTTTATTGTTTTTCTGCTAAGTGAGTTATCCAAAGAAACTCTGATTCCGTCATTCAGCTATTCAGCTCTTTATATGGATGGATTTTTTTTTGTTTTACACACAAATATGGTTTTAATGGCATGTAGATTCAGGGGGGGGGGGGGGGGGGTGTAATTCCTGGGATGAGCCTGTCCAGGATTAGGGCTGCTGGGTGACCAGAATAAACCAGTTTCCCAGGTTTGTGTTTCACACCCTGTCTCTGAGCAAACCTCCTTTTATTAGGTAGCAGCCTCCTGCCTTGGGGGGGGGCCTCTGCAGGAATTCATCTCTCCCCCCCCGGCCCCCCCCCCCTCCACCAAGCTGCGTGTCATGCACTGTTCCTGTGCCAGGTGGGCGACGAACGGGAAGCTGTCATCTTTCGACAGGCCGACCAGGAGGGCTCGCTCCTCTGAGGGTTACGGTCTATTAAGAAATGGGAATTGAGGGACTAGAACACACCCTGTTCTGGTGCGATTAAGTGAAACAAGGCCGGTCCATAAAGTTAGACGAGGCAGTAGTAAAAGTTACTTGTTTCATAATTTAACAAGTAATATTGTAAACTGTATTATCTCCTCCTCTTTTTTTATAATTTTTTTTTTTTAAAGTTTCCAGCCACCACTGGTTGAGTTTATTTTAATCATTTGACCAGCATAGAATGTTCTTTAAACCCCATCTTGAAATCTGCAGGCTTCTCCCTCTCCTCTCAGTGATGGCCCGCGATCCAGTGACGCAGCCAAAACCGGCTCCTTTCGGCATGGCACATCTGTGGGCGCGGACGGGTCCGGGCTGGAAGGCGCTGTGACGCGCGGGAGAACGAGGGGGGGTGCTAACGGAAATACAGATCAGCGCAAATCCACATAGCCCCCAGCGTGACCGCTGTATTTGTTAGGGGCCTTTTTTGATCAGCCGCGCTCCCTGTATAGTCGTCGTAATTAGAGTGCTTCCTCTAGGCCTTAATTGGGATTTTCTGTAATGCATATAAAATTTAAAAAAAAAAAAAAAAATTAAAAACAGCCGGAAAAGGCAGAAGACGGAGCTGAAGTGTGACCCAGTTCAGCTGCCGCCGTTGGTGGCTGGCTGACAGCTTCGCTGCGTTTGCTGTTACGCCATCCGGGCTGGTTTTGGAAGATGGGGGCGGTTTTATTTTTAAACGGCCCTCGCCATTCACAACTTTTTCCGCCGCTGCCCGTCGCAGAGTCGTGCAGCCTCCGAGGGAACATGCCGGATCTCGGTGCCCGGACCCACCCGAGTCGTCGCACACCGAACGCCGATGGTCCTAATGATATACCAAGAAAACCCCATATGGGTGACGGGGGGTTTATGATGACCCCCCCCCCTTCTTGGGATCCGCCCGGAGCCTTTGTGTCGGCCTGTTTCCATTTCCGGGGGCCCATTCTGCTCCGCATCTGAAGGACGCCGCCGGATGGTGTATCGGTCCCAGAAGCCGTGCAGGGAAGCCGTCAGGAGGCCCCGGCCAGGGGGTGTAATTTCACTCCCGGCTTCCTCGCACCTGCCTCCCTCAGCAGCTCTTGAGACACCCCCGCCCCCAGGGCGTGTAGACCCTGTAACCTTCTCATGTCCTAATGGATCGATACTTTTGTCGCATCCACCTCGGGAGCCCGAGGCGAGATCATATTCCCCGTTGTCGTCTCCTCTTCGGTGGGTGACAGCTTGCCACCGCGCCGTCCCTGGAAAGGCAATGAATCGAGTGGTTTTGCGGAGACCGACGCAGGGTGACAGACTTCTGGTGACTTTGCCAGTCTGCCTCCCCCCCCGGACCTCCTGTCAGACTTGCGTTGATGCTTCACAGCTCAGAACAATTCTTTAGGAGGGATACACTCAAGGGTAAAACATGTGGAGGGTACAGGTTGGGCGTGGCCATGACCAGGAGGGGGCGATAGCGGGTCAGTGCCATGGCCCTGCTAAGATGCTCTAGTCGTCACGCACCCCCCACCCTCCCTGCTATTTGCGGCATTAATAATTGATCATGGCTAGGAGGAGCTCTAACCACTGTGGGGGGGGTGGCTATCGCCCAGACCGCGGGAATCGCTGCTCCTCTGTTCGCACGCATCCCTCCGGATCCGCCCCGGCTGATGGAACGCCCTCTCCGACGCCGCTATGGACCTGAATGCTACCCGCTGTGACGCCGTGGGTGGACTTGGAGGGACGGCGGCGCCCCCAGGCTGCCCAGGGGTGCTGTGGAACTACATGTGCTGCCAGAAGAGGGCCAAGGAGACGCCTTTTCCGCGTAGGTCCCGCGTCCCGGCAGGCCGCCACGCCGATCCGGCCACGCCGATCCGGCCACGCCGATCCGGCCACGCCGATCCGGCCACGCCGATCCGGCCACGCCGATCCGGCCACACCACTGCCCTGCTTCTGTGTAGCCAATCCTCAGCTTTGTTCCGCGTCTCTGCCTGTGGAGGCTCTTCTCCTCCATGGCTTCCTGATTGATGCAGTTTCCATTTTTAGCAGGTTAATTTCGCAGATTTTTGACTGCAGTATCAATCATTGTATCTTTCGTTTGCGTGATGTAATTTAAAGGGGATGTGATGCCTGTGAACTTCAGCTTTTGGTTGTTTTGGCTTCTGTTAGACCGTTTTGTTCCCAAATATCTAAACTGTGCTGGTATTGTTGTTTTTTTTTTGGGTGAGTGGGTGGGGAGTGATCTAAGGTAAGTGTAAAACGGATCTGTCAATTCCTCTGTAATAGCATTCTTCTTCCATCCAGGCCAGGAAAAGGTTCTGTTAGGGCCAAAGGTTGGGGAGTAGCAGCCTTTGTCCTGATTGACATGTGATGTCATCAAAAAGAACCTGGACAATATGTCAAAAGCTTCAGTGTTATTTGTATCTTTACCCTTAAAGAACGGGCTTGCAATGAATTACCTTAGTGTGATCATTTCTAATGTCTAGTGTTGTCTTTTTTTGTGAGAATAGTTCTGCGTGGAGCCTGATGACCTTCCAGTGCTGTGTTCGTCCCACCTAATGATTCGTCGGGTGGTTTTTGTGTCGTCTGCTGGGGCTGCCTGATTGGAGGGCTTGCGTCTGCTGGGGCTGCCTGATTGGAGGGCTTGCTTTCCCAGGTGGAGGCGGAAGGTGGCTGCCGCTCACATCTGTCATGTCACAGCGGAGCCCTGAGAGTAAACAGGAAGCGTGAAGCTGAGCAGGTGTCCCGGCCGTCACACAGGGCTCAGTCTGGGAGGTGTGGAAAGTCCCCACGTCTCCCCAGTGAACAGAGACCTATTATCCAGTCAGTGTGCCCCAGGCTCCTGTGTGGGCCTCTGCCGTTCCGTGTGGGACTCCCAGGCTTCTCCGCTTCCCATGTCAGGAAGCTGGCAGCACCTAATAATTAACAGGCCGCGATACCGACCCCAGCGGGCGTTGGGGAAACGGCAGGATGGCAGTTCACAGTTACTTGGGAAATGTCACCGAAACGCCGGCGTTTCTGCGGAAGAGGGATCGCCGGCAGGTGCTGGCAGCGGTTTCGTGAATGCTGAGCATCCCCTCATGCCCCCAGGGGCATCCAACACCCTCAGAAGTGCCTGCTGTTTCTGCTCTAGCCTGGGCACCCGGCTCGCCGTTCGGGCTGATGTCACTCAGCGTTTCCGTGCCAAGGAAGGTGCCCATCTCTATTGCTAAACGGGCCGCTATTCCTACTACTGTTCTACTCCTCTCCGTCATTTCTGGCCAGCTGTCTTACTCGGAATGTCCCGTATCTGTAATTAACCCTCTGGAGCTTTAGGAATCTCTCTAGTCTCATGCTGGTTACAGCGATAACCGAAACAGCGACTTTTATTGTCGGAAGTGTGCCAGTCGTTTTGTTCAGCCCATTGTACATTTGCCAAATCTGGACCCTTTTCTGCCTACAATTGGGTCACAATCTCTTGGATATTTTGGGCAGATTGTTTTTAGTTTTGTTTGGTCTGTATAAGTGTTCAGGTACTTTTGCCGCTTCCCTATTTTTAAAAACTGTAATCTGTGCCAGTTACATGACTCCCCAGCTAAGCTGCAGGAAAGCCAGTCGTCTGCTGGTCTCAGTGATAACCGAAGCTCTATCTTTTACTGCCGGGGGTGTGCCGGCTTTCCTGTTCACCACATGTACGTCTGCCAAATCGAGACTCTGCATGTCTGGCTGAATAAACTTGACTGAAATGTCCTAATCAGTGCAAGAAGGATCTTCAACCCATTGAAGAAGGACAATGAACTCGATCTTCCTCGGTAGACCAAACATTTCTATGACTGTTAATATGTGCACTCTCCTAGCGTTGCTACACCACGGAGCTAAACGGACCATTTAGCCTCAACAGTGGTAGAGATTACAGTGAGGTTCTTCATTAACTTAGCTTTTAGCTTAGCTATTAGCTTACCTGTTGGTTTGCCAAGAGCAACTTGCAGTGGTTTAGATTAGTAGTACTGATATTGTTATTGGAGACATTCAGGTTAAGTACTGGGATCTGGGGTAAAACACTGATCCCCTTACTGGGGTTTTAGCTTGCAGGCTGGATATTTCACCTCTTTGTCCTTTGTTCTATGTGGGAAGCCCCTGTGAGAGGCTCACCTGAGCCGGATGTTGATTAGAGCTTTGTATCTCCCCTTATAGGCCCCACGTTGCCAAGACCGACTACTCAGGTACAGAATGGGCCGTCGCCAGAGGAGCTGGAAATGCAGAGGAGGTAAGTCGACCTTGAGTCTCCGACCTGGCCGGCGGGCACACTGTTACCGTGGTGCCGTGTCCGCCTACATTCGGGTCGTGGTCTTTTGGATATTTTGGGCAGTTTGTTTTAAGTTCTCGTTGGTCGATATAAATGTTCAGGTATATTTGGCACTAAAAACTGTAGTCTGTTACGCAATTCTCGAGCTACGCGTGCATGCAAATGAGCCTCCGGCTGCCTAAAGCACCAGGATTGGCTGGATTTTTGGTGTTTTCCCCAGCAAGAGGCCCTATTGATGTGCCTTTTTGAGCTTGTTTGTACCCAGAAGGGCTTTCGGTGGAGCTGTTCAGGGCTTGCGCTTTAACGAGTCATCGACACCGCAGATCATCTGGGCTTCTCAATCACCATGCCATCTGATGGTATGGAGCTGTCAGGCCCTTGTAGCTGCTGTCGGGGAGGAAGCAGCTGGATTTGTTTGAGGTGGCGTTCTCCCAGCTCCCGTAGTGTCCTGGCTGAAATGCTTTGAAAGCCCTACAGACAAAATTTAATTTCTGTATGTTTAGTCACTGGCTCAAACAAGACAGACTCCTTTTCTTACTCCTTAAAGAAAGTTCTGGAGATGTTTAATGAAGAGGCCAGTTTGTAAGTGGTATGATCTTGACCCACGGATGCAAAAAAAAATCGCCTTGCACACTACATCGGAACCCTCTTAAACATGACATCTCGAAGCACATGTCGTTACGTTAACTTAACTTGCTGATGTCTTGAGGCTCGTTCTTTGGCTCACTTTCATGTCTATTTTTGGCCTTGCCGGGGGGGGGGGCTCCAAGGTGATTTTGTGATTGTCACCCACTGCCCCCAACCTTGGCTGGTTGCAGAGATGTCATTTCTTCTCACATCCCTGATGCGGGAAACTTGCAGAACGGCAGATATTAGACAATCTGATACGTTTTGGCAGTGAGAGGGCGGAGGGGAGGGCACAGCGACAGAGCACCTAAAGACTGATCTGGGACCAGCTTACCTCCTATTGCCCCTGCCCACGATGACTTAACTGACACAGACAGCAGTGGATGGCAAGGACAGCAGTGCTGTGTGATGTGTAGGAACTCAGTGTTTTTCTTTTGCCCTTATTGGACGAGTTTGCAAAATTGAAGCGAATGGGGAGAATAATTTCTGTGGTCAGCTCATATGTCGACCTCTGAGTTTGAGTCAACTTTTGAATTTAATTTGTGAATTAAATTTTTACTGAAGGGGAATGCTTTAAGGGTAAAAAAAATCCCCCTGCCCCTCGCCCCCAAATAAAATTTCTGTAATGCAGGCAAGAATATAACACACAACCGACAGCTGGATCTGAGAAAGCTACGGGGGGGGGGGGGGTGTTGGTGTTATTTCATGTGATTTGTTGACCTCGTGTCTCTGTACAGTACTCCTATGTCAGAAAGATGTAAATTTACCCCATGACTTGAGGTAAACTCATATTACTATGCTGGTGCTCTTGTGCCAACTGCTGCTTGTCATGTCACCATGGGGTGCGGCTATTGGTCTCAGCGTCGTGATTTAAGGAGTCAGTTCCCCCCACCCCCGTGAGCTCGACACAAGTGACGTCTTTCTTCTGAAACTGAGGAGGGGGGAGTCAAGGTGCCCCCATCTCTGGTCAAGGTGGTTCTGTCACACTCAAGTTGTCAACCATCTGTTTTAGTTGAGGACGTAAATAGTTTAGGTTCGGTTAAGTGAGCTTGGTTCAGAGCCGCGTGATGCGTCTCCTCGGAACCACAAAATCCCAGAGGACACTGCAAAGCCAGCGGTTTTATTTTTAAGTCGCGGGCTCGCGGCTGCTTAGAGGAGCTGCTGAGATGCTGCGTCTCCAGACTGGAAATCTCCTCCCCAGATGAGCTTGAGGTTGATGCTCACACAACCATAGTAGGTATTAGAACCTGATGTTTAGTTTGACTCTCACAGAGCTTTAGTCTTTAAGTGCTCCTTATATGGCGTTTGCAGCTAACCTTTGGAGTTTGGGGGCGGGGGGGGGGGTTACAAATCCTTCAAAGAATGTGCGTTTGTGTTTTTTTTTTTCCCCCCCGTTTTCTTTTTGGGCTCCTCACACCTGTGGTAACGGCAGCCATATTTAGCCATTACCAGTCAATGAAACATGCCACATTCTTGGGGCCTGATGTCATCGCAGCCCAGGAATTTGATTCAGCAGTCAGACTCTGTGGCACATTTCTTTCTCAAAGCCTCGTTACTGTCGGGGGAAGCTCTGTGTGGCGTCATAGTACTGACCTCTAAGTGTGCATTTTTCATCCGAAGTCGGATATTTTCACGAGAATAGTGATTGAGGTTAGTTGTTGAGCGCTGGTGAGATGTCTGGGAAGCCCCGCTGCTGTTCCATATGTCTGACCTGTGTGACAGAGGCCGCCTTGCCCCTCCTTGGAAGAATCTGCAGTCTGGATGCCTTCGTTTTTTAGAACATCCTTCTGCCGCTCCCCATGAGGTCTGCCTGAGTGTCAGCGGCACGCCCCCTCCCCACCCCATCGCTCTGCATGCTCCTCGTCCTTCTCCGGCATCCCAATGAAGGCCCAGAGGTCTGGGCCACCTCTGGCTCCAGCACAGGGAAGCCTCTTGTGGCCTGAACGTGATCAGTGCTCTCCTGGGCTACAGGAATGCACTCTCCCTCGAGCTTCCACACACGATGCGCTCTCCCTCTCTCTCTCTCCCCCCCCCCCCCCCCCCCCCCCTCTCTCTCTCTCTTCCATGCGTGGGCGCATAGCCCTGAGTCTGCTTTTGGCTGCAAACACGAGCGAGTCGGTCTGTGCTTTCGCATTTTTCAGGATCCTGATCGAAGGCTTCCTCCCTGCTCTGTCACCCCCCCCCCCCGCCCCCCTCCACAAATGATGACATCAGGATGCTCTATTTGGCACAACTTTTAGGGTTCTAGTCTGCGCACCTCACCTATTGCTCACGTACCCCGCTTAATCATGTTAGTTTGTCTGACCAATTTATGCACGTAACATTTCAATAATTTAATCTTTCCCTCTATCTCTCATTATGCCATATGCAGGATTATGTGGTGGGGGGAGGGTGTGGGTTCATCCGCTTTGCACTTTTAATTTGTTATGGAAGTTCCTAGCAGCTGGGCCAGCGATTCTAATTCCCGACCAAAATGGATACAGTGCATTAAAAGAATGAATCTTCTTCCTGATTGTCCCAAAATGTAAGAATGTGTATCTATGGATTGGCCGGAAAGCCAGGCAGCCAGTACCTGATTGGGTAACGCGCGGCAGGTGGCGTGACAGGCGTGTGTATAAATAGCCCGTATGAGACCAGTGAGACTGGTTGTCTGCCGCTGTTGCCTTGAAGCACATCTGTCAGGTTTCCAGCCCTTGTAGCTGAAACCAAGTCATTGGTGGAGACTTGCTACTAACCAGCCCCCTTCCCTTTTCCACACAGTAGCTAATCTGTCATCTGCTATTCTGTTATCTGTTCCTGGTACCAGAAATGCCTTGCAGCACTGTGTGTGTGGGGCACTAGAGTATTGCACTTTTGAAGATGCCCCTAGTGGCTGACTAGCACAATGCGTGTTAATTACAGTGTTAGCTGCAGAGGGGGTGGAAATCACACGAGGCCTGCTACTGCACCTTAGGATGTCTGTTAAGGAGGAACTGGCCTACATTTCCAGGAGGTTCAGAGTTTGTACCGATCGCACTGGTTTGGTTGGTGCCTTTGTACGCTCTCCCGCCTTGTGTCGTCAGGGGTTGGACACTACAAGTGTGTCTCCCCCCCCCAGACAACACGATGCACATCTAGATGGATGATCAGTTATTTTATATGCTTTGTTTTGGCTCTGATTGGATATAGTTTACATCAATTTATTGAAGGTCCCTACTTAGTCTCTCAGAATTTGTCCCAATTCTGCTTTCTGAAAAACCATCGTTAATTCTAGGTAACTGAATTTAAGATCTTTCCATAAAATGTTAGTGAGAGTGGTACAGTAGGTATATTATGATTTTGTTTTTGTTTTTTTGGCCAGTTTCCTTCTAAAACTGAACCAGATTGTGGGTTTTGAATCCCTAGATATATTGTAAATGATCAAGTTTTTCCTTAAACCCCTTGTTCCTTGTTCAGTTGTTTTATCTTGGGACATGATTGATAGTCTCTTGGCCATAAAACCTTTTTTCGCACTTTCGGAGAAGTTGGACTTGTGACTGTGAGAACCTAGAACCTGAATGTAGCTTAACCTGAATTGCTACATTCAAATATTCAGCAGCATAAATGGTTCATGTGGAATAATAAGTTATGTAAGGCGCTCGGCCTTAAAGCATCTGCTCAGATGACGGTGAGGAATCCATCTCCTTGCCTGTTTCGTCTGGCGTGCCGCTGCAGAGATGGATCACATCAAACGGGTCTTTTTAGGCCCAGAAAAAAGTCGAGCGTAATGGGAAGGCATTCCGGTCTAGGCCACGTGCTGCCTTTGCTCCCTTAGCAACCGTTCCCCTGGCAACGGGTGTCAGAAACCAAGATGCCAGGAAACGGAGCCACAGCCCCTGCCACATCTTTTTAAGCCCTTTCTTCTCTCTCGGCGAGGTGGGACTTGAGGAAAGTTACCTTTGGTTAGTTCTGCAGATCCCGGTCATTTTTCACATTTCAATGGTTAACCAGCAGAACACTTTTGCTGTGTTTTAGAAGACAATATTTAGTTAATCGGTTTGGGAAATCAGAACACACTTCTAAGAATTCTCAAAGGGTCATTTGCATCTTCTGACACGCAACACCGTGTCTCAGCTGCTGGTTGTATGTAGAATTTGCCATGTCACATCAGCGAGTGCGATGTGAGATTTGCATGTGTTCTTGCATGTGTTTCGGGCTCCTATTGTGGGTATAAAGGGATTCGGAGCGGCCAATCAGATGCCAGTCATGCCAAGCGGAGCCATCTGTGTCACCCTGGCAGACTCCGTGTGACATCAGTCATCTGGCATCCCCCCTTCCCTGACAGTCGCCATGTTAGCCCTGGGGGGCGGCCAGGGTGCTCTGTGAGCCCCAAGGCCAAGCCTTTCAGTGCGCTAAGCCGGGGGGAGCTCAGCATTTAAGGAGGGTGGGAGAATGTCTCCTACCTTTGTCCTTCTCCTGGCAAACTGAACGTAACCACTTCTGGTCTGGTTTGGTCCAGATTGTCATGCGGGATGGAGTGAAGGAGCATGTGACCAGCACCCCAGGGCAGTTCTAAGATTTTTTTTTTTAGGGTGGGAGGCTTAAGAGGGACCATTATACACAAAGGGACCAACCTTATTGTTTGTCGATGATAGATTTTGAATCCTTGAGTGACAGGGGAGCAGGGCCTCTGCTGGCCAATCAGCTTTAATCTGGAGCCATTCCCCCTGTAGCCCCACCCCTGCATATATCCCTTCCTGACCACTGAGCAGCAGGCTATCATGGTCTGAATGCTAATCTGAAAATCGTCACCAAGATATTTCACCACATTGGGGTGCGATCAATGTCAGGACCAAATGAATGTGATTTGAAGGAATTGCTTCCATTTTACATTGCTGGTCAGTGATGTGCTTGCCACAATGTCTCTGTGGCGCCCCCAGCTGGAGGGCCGGCTGAGATGCATGCCGTAAAGGGAATTCCTGCACTGAGGAATTTGTGGGTGTCTGATAGCTCCCTCCCCCACACTGATGTGGAAGCCATTGAGAGACGGGGCGAGGCTCAGCGGAGGCGTGGCCTGTAACCTCGACCTTACCAGTCTGAATCGAACTGATCAAATTCAGCCTGATCGACGTGGATCTAAGTAATACCTGCCGAGTTAAGGGGACTGCGGCTGCTTGATGCTTTAATCAAGCAGCAGGTGACAGACTGGTTAAGAGGCCCCTCCTATGAGGGGTTAACTGGTTAACTAAAAGGGCTAAATGGAGAAGCTGTCAAACTAGGGTGCTAATGCATTAAGTGGATTCAGGAACCTTATAGTCGACCTCTTGTTATCTCGCCAGCCGTTGACGTTCGTTGTGGTTTGTTTCAGGATTGCATTTAGATTGCATCACAGACCCTTAACCTTCTATGACCCATTATCTGCATGTATCTCAACACCGTTTCCTAAATTTACACGCCGTCGCACTAATAATATCCTGTCTCTGACGTGCTCCCGTGGTTTTTCATGGTGTTGGTGAGATCATTGACACATTGTGAAGCCCTAGTAGCTTGTCAACGCCTCACAGCATCGGCTCTCTTAGTGCTCATTCCCCTCGTTGGTCCCTTATTTGGATATTACTCGCGTAGCTGCTGGGTGCTTGAAAGCACTACGAACGGGGCATGGATCACCTGGGCGGGACGTCAGGTCACCATACCTCCAGAGCTGTAGGTGGCGTAGTGGTTTAAGGCCTAATCAATTGTTTGACTCCCAGAGTTCACATTCCTTTTTTCCTTCTATATCAGGTATTCTGTGTTCTTGATCCATTGCAGGAGCTGGGAAGGAGCAAACATATAGACTGGCTGGGGCCCCCAAGGACCGGGTTGGGAAACACTGGCCTAATCTTAAGGTTGCCAGTTCTAGTCCCGGGGGGGAAGCCCTTCTGTGGTACCTTTGACCTGACTTAAAGGGGTGAGCATTTTTAGGTAAAAGGTAAACTGAAAATAAGGACAAGTTAGAAGGTATTCCAGGAAAGAGCTGTGTGTCTGACCCAGCTCTGCAAGCCTGGGAACATCCTTGGGGAACAGGGGTACTGGGGCACCCGGTTAGACGTGAATGAGGAACTGTTTGGGGAATGTGGGGCAGCCTCAGAGGCATGGGTGTGTACAAGGGGCGGGGCAGTCTTTGCAACACTGAAAAATAATTGGACCGCAGGGTGTTCCCTGCCCTGTCACTCACTGATTAGAGTGATATCATTGGCTAACGATACGGTTGGCCCCTCTGTGTTAATTAAGGACCCTCTTATCCCCCCCCTTTAAATTCTAGCTCAGACCTGTAGTGCCGGCTGAAGCTGACGTAGAATCTTCCTCGAGGACGGCTCCGCCTGCCATGCCTCCCCCTCTACGCGCTCAGCAGATGTCCTTATCTGCAGTTGTTCTACATGCCAAATTATACTGGGCTCTACTTATGAATTTTTGTCTTTATCCTATTAAAGGGAAATTTAATCTAAAAACAATACTTCAGTTATTAATCACTGATTTCCTGCTTAGCCAAAAGAAAATTACATTACTTGCATTTTCAATAGATAGTTGGTCCTTCTAGACTGCAGAATAGAGTGAAATGTGCTCTTTGGATTGTCACAGTCAAAACTAATGTGCTCTTCCAGCCAAGCAATTCTTTGTGATTAATTTGTAATCCCTATTTTCTTGGTATGAAAAGGTCTTGACTGGGAGCCATATGGGTTTGTCTGGACTGACCTGCAATGGAATGAGCCTTACTATAGGGCTGCGGTAGGATCATTAAGAATGCAAACCTGTGAGCTAAAGATTGTTGGTCCAAGACCCTGAAGGGGATGGTACCTTTTATCTGAATTGTTCCAGAAACATACCCAGCTTTGTGAATTTGGAGCTATTAGTGTCAAATGAGCAGTGAAAATGATACACAAGAGTATCGTTTACTTCAGCGTTTCCTTTCCAGTCCTCAGGGATCCCCAGGCAGTCCATGTTTTTGCTCCCCAGTTGGGAGGGAGCAAAAATGTGGACTGTCTGGGGTTCCCCAAGGGTTGGGTTGGGGGAATACTTGTTGTTTTTATAAACATGCCATCTTAACCGTAGCACCATGTGACCATCTAATGGAATTTTTGCCCTGAGGATCATTGTAACTCTACTGCAGAAACAATGTTCTTGGGAGCGTGAGGGACTCGTGTGTGTCATGCACACCTGTTTATGTATGATGGTGCCGTGAGTCACCCCCCAAGGTGGTGACAACTCCCACTTTGGGCCTGAGAAATCTGTGCCCCCCCCTCCCATCCGCGCTTTCTACACACCCTACCCAACCTTATGATGTGAGGCCGTGACCTCATGGGAAAAGGAGGAATCATCAGGGAGGGTCCAGGCCTGGGGGGTGTAAGGTTGCACTTTTCACAGCATGGTTTGTGGTTTCCTATGTGGCTTGGCACGCTGGGACTAGCTCTTGGCTGTTTTTATTGACAATAGGTAGGCGTTGGCTCGTATATCTGAGATTATATTGAGGTATCCAGTGGAAATGGTGTATGTCGCTCTGTTTTTTTTTCTCCCCCGATTTAAAAAAAAAAAAAAATGTCTAATTATCCTAATTGAATGCATCACAGCGATTCTGTTCCACAGCAGAATTCTTTGAGCACATGCCATAAATTTTTAATTGTCATAACCAACTTAAAAGCAGCCTGTGTGTTTGTCCTCGTAAGTCATTGTTGTCATTTGGTTAGTTGTGAAATTTTAATAAGTGACCTAGATTAAGGTCCCAATCAAGCCTAATTGGGTTCACGGAAAAGTAGGAAAAGTAGGGCTCTATGTCTCTGTTTTGGTTTTTGGTTACTTGTTTGGGGGATGAGGGGACGTCGCGGTAATTTGGGTGTGAGTATGTGTGCGAACCATAGCCCCTGTGATACGTCTCGATTTGTCCTCCCCTCGTTTAAAATCACAGAGAGCGTCTACCTGGGTGTGTCATTATGCTGGGCTGAAATTTAAGAAACCCCTTTGGGCTCCAAACTGGTTGAACCAGGAGGACTGAAATGTCACTTGTAATCGCTGAGCTGGGGGAACGCTCGGAACGTGGCCTGTCGTTGGGTCCCTGGGTCCCGTCGATCTGCACCTCTCCCCTGTTGTGGCCCATGGCTGTTTTTCTTGCAGCCACGCACACCTTGTTCTGTGTTAGTCTGCTCTGCACTTGTATTGGGCCCCGGAGGCTTCCAGCGCGTTCAGTTTGTCAACCTTGTCCAGCGGTGCCAGTGCTATTGGGAGGAGTTTGCTTGCTCTCGTCACGACTGTGACGCAGCAGTCTACACCGTTGGTATCCTGCTGCCCCCCGGTGGCCAATATGTGAAGTACAGGATAATTATGCCGGCCTGGCATTTTCCTGTGGTTACGGTCCGCTGCCCTATGGCAGGCGACTGCTGCTGTTCCCTGCCGTTTCCCTGACCTTGCTGACTCTTTGGCGGTAATGGTGTAAACACGCCACTGTGCATTCTTACCTTTCAGTAATGATTGGTTTTGGGCAACGTAGGACGTTGGCACCTTCAACAGCAGCGGGTTTTCAATTGGGTTTCATTGGCGAAATCAGGCTGATTTGGCACTGTCAGTCATATGGCTTGTAACGCTGATACTGTGGAGCCTCTCAATGGTGACACAAATCAGAGCCTCATTGTTGAGGGTCTCCTAGCACGATTTAGGATGACGTCAATAATGGTGTTAATATGGGGGGGTCTGTGTTCGTTTAATGACCAGCCCACAATTATTGCGTTACAGACAGCTGCAGGAGCTGCAGCGGCAGAAGGAGGTGGAACGGGAGCGACTGGAGCGCGAGATGCTGGAGCGGGAACGACTGGAGCGGGATCGCTTTGAGAGGGAGCGCCTGGAACGGGAGCGGCTTGAGAGGGAGCGCCTGGAACGGGAGCGGCTGGAGAGGGAGCGCCTGGAACGGGAGCGGCTGGAGAGGGAGCGCCTGGAGCGAGAGATCGCTGAGCGGGAGCGCCTGGAACGGGAACGCCTAGAGCAGGAACAGCTGGAGCGGGAGCAGTTGGAGCGGGAGCTGTTGGAGCGAGAGAGGGTGGAGAGGGAGAAGCTGGAGCGTGAGCAGCCGGATCAGCTTGACCGGGAGCAGATGGACTGGGAGAGGGGGAGGCGCATGTCGAATGCTGGTGAGCCATCCTCATCTTCACCACCTCGTCTCCATGTGCTGATTGGGGATTGGGGTGTGGTCGGAGGGGAGGGGCCGGGAGAAGTACAATGAGATTCTCCCCCTGTAAAATTTAGCTAGTTATCATAGGGGGTGCTGAGGATCTGAAGCTAATGTACCCCCACTTTCCCCTTCACTGACTTCAGACTGGGCTCCTTTTGATTCCAGCCCATCTGTTGACAGGTTGGAACCAGTTCTTGGCCAGCTGGAGTAGAGAGGTGGGATTGTTTGGGGGTTGGTGGGGGGTTGGTTGTGGTGACACTCTGGGCAAGCCAATGAGCCCCCCCCCCCCTTCACACAGCCTGCTGTGAACTGTCTGACTGGTAGGGGGGTGGGTTTGTTAGTCGACTGGTGGGCGGGGACGACTGGTCCAGGATGATGGCGCTAGCTGGAAGATTAGGCTCCAGACTTGGTGCCCTCTGGTGGCTGCTCCACCTTCTCTGGCCTGATTAGAAGCCGAAGGCGCAGTGATGGGCTAAGTCTCTTTTTTCTTGGTGCCGTGGGTGGGTGAAGACGACGTGAGTTTGATAGTGGCACAGTCTGTGCTTTGAGGTGAGGGGGCTTTTCATCTTCAGCTCAGACCGGAAGCGGTAAGTGGACTTCAGGTGCGTTTTGAGGTCAGCTAGCTATCACAATTCTCCAGCTGGCAAAGGGCCAGACTGCCATGGTGAGTCTAGAATTATCTGTAGAGGTCTGCTTTGACATTACATCTGTTCATTTGTGCATGACATTTAAGTTTCTTTATTAAGTCTTCAAGCAAGTGGCACTTAGTTTCTTGATGGTGCATATTGTTTAATAGCTTGAAGCTTGATAGTAACGAGGAGAGCTTGGTGACCTTCTCGCAGCAGGGAGGGTAGGTTTAAAGGGCACCATAGGGTGTGTCGCTCTTTCGACGGACCTGTAGTGTCCCCCGGATCTGCAGAGGGGAGGGGCGTCAACACTTCACATATGGCAAGATGACCAGATAGAAGTCAGATGGTGGCAAATCCTCTGTTGGTGCCAAGTGGGACAAAGAAGAGGGGTGTTATTGGTTTGCCCGCCATTCATTGCCAGATTTTCGTTTTTAGCATGTTACTTAGTGATTTTTATCAGACCAAGTGATCTGGGGGTAAACGTGACTCTTGAAAGTTATGGGGACTGCCTTTTTGAGAAAGGTCAGGTAATTAGCTCTTAAAGGAACACTTGGATAGACTTTGGAAGAAGCGGAACTCCAAAATCCAGATTGCACGAACATCAAGGTCTGGACTCCAGTGTGTATGACACATCAACGGATGGCAAAACGAGGTTTTGAGGGGCCATAATTTATACAGAGGGACCACCTTAATCATTAGCCAATGATGTGTTTTGAATCTTTGAGTGACAGGGGAGGGAGCTCTCTGGGGTCCAATCACCTTTCAGCTGAGGTCAGTGCCTTTGTGACCCCACCCCTGTGTACACTCATGGAAATAAGAGAAACCCGAGTGTTCAGATAATCAGATGATTCATCCAGGTAGGTTCATTAGTAGAGAGGTGGGAATGCTACAGGGAAGTTTATTCCTCTAGATTAAAGCTGGTTCAATGGGTTGTTTGAATGATTCATTTAAATTGTTTTTTTTAAAGCATCCAATCTCTCCCCAATTACTGGTCTGGTGTAATTTCACAATGCAGTGGCCTAAAAATATGGTGAATTGCAGTTGGGAAAGTCCTGCTGCAGGGGCTGAATGGTAAATGTTGCTGTTTGCTTCTTCTGGATGGTGTTTAGTCATGAGATGGACTTGGTCTGTGTTTAATAATTGGGATTTGGTCTCCGGTCCTGAGCATAGAGATGGACCCAAACTCCAAAACATCTTCAAAATTAAGACTGACACCATTCCAGCAATCGACTAACTTGTTCGCCAGCTTGGAGCCAAAGTAGCCAGTTTGACGTGCTGACTTCAGAGTCATTCCCTTATTAGTTACAGTCCGCAGGCCTGGTTCTTCTATGTCCAGGAGCCTTTGAGAAAGGTTCTGATCATAATGATGCGGACTTGACCACCTCTGGGCAGTCAGCCTAGGTAGGACCATCTTATACTGCATAGCTGGCTCTCTACCTCCTAACCTGTACGTAGAACCTCTTAGGGTTTGGCTCACCAGCTAACACTTATACTAATTGTACCTTCTCTTTTTAAGAAAGTACCAAGATCTTCTGCTGGTTTTCCTGCTTCAATCGCTCCCTTTTCTCTTTCTCTCTCTTGCCTTTTCTGTTGCTGCTTTTCTCCTTGTGTCCTGTGGTCTGCCGTGTCCAGCGTTTGAAAGCACCCTCTATACCCCCTCGCCCACGGACTGCCCGCTGGCCGGCTCCTCCCCCATTTCCCCCTCCAGTTTCCTGCCCCCGACGTCATCCCCCTCCTCGGCGGCCCCGCCGACCCCGCCCCTCCGCAACTCCGCCTCCCGCTTCGCCACCTCCCTGGGCTCCGCCTTCCACCCGGTGCTGCCCCACTATGCCACCGTGCCCCGGCCCTTAAATAAGCACCCGCCTGCTCAAGCGCCGGCCCCGCCCCCACCTCCTCCGGCCCCACCCTCTAAGTCGGCAGTCTGGTCGGCGTCTAACTTCAGTCCGCTGCCTCCGTCGCCGCCGGTGATGATCAGCAGCCCACCGGGGAAGGCAACTGGTCCTCGTCCCGTCATCGCCATTCCTGCCCCCAGCCCGCTGTCCCAGAAACCCCCCTCTCCTTCAGCTGTCGCCCCCAATGGTACTTCAGACTCCCCCCGAGTTTTGTCCCCAGCTTCTGGCCCCCCCCCCCTGCCCCCCCCCCCCCCGCCGTTGCCTGCCTCGTTGTACTCGTCCTGCCAGGCGTCTCCTATGTCCCCCGTGTCCCCCCCCTTGTCCCAGCCTGCTGTTCTCCCCTCTCCTTCCACAGCTTCCCCTGCCTCTGCTGAACACTCTCTAAACTCTCTGCTGGGGGAGTCCAGCTCCTGTGTCCCGGAGCCCGAGGCGTCTCAGCCCGCCGACCCCCCCGCCCAGCCGGGTAAGGCCTCTCCTCTCTCTCTCCTCCTCTCTATCACTCTCTCTCTTTCGCTCGCTCGCTCCTCTGCTAACCCACTAATTGGAGCCGGGCGCGCAGCTTGAAGACGCCCCGGCTTTGGCATGAGCGTGCAGCGGCGCTTGTGTTGGGCTACGTGACGTGCTAACGTTACCCACTCACGGCTGCAGAGCCGTGTCCTCCTCTCATGTCTCTCGTGTTGAGTGTCTGTCCATTCGCTGCCGTACGCTGTGGCCTGTCCCCCGTTAAATGGTTGGGTCTAGCTGTTTATCAGTGGAACCCTGCACCTTGGAAGTGCTGGAGATGTGGCATCAAAGTGTACGTCCCTCTCATGTGTTTATTTTTTATTTTTTTAACGTGTGACCTTTTCCTGCAATTCACCATTTGAATCATCTTGCCCTGTCTTTCCTAAACATCCACCTGGTGTTTGTGTGTGCCCACATGCGTGTGCTAGAACTGAGGCTACCTACCTCATGGAACCAATACCTTACCTACTAGCACGTGTGCACTAAGGCTGCTGGCCGTTGTTGGCACTCTAAGGTGAGGCCGTCACCGTCGTGTATCGAGATCCGCCGTTAAGCTTCTCTTGAACTGACCTGCTTCTTGCTGACAGCTTGGGAATTGAATCATCATGCTTGACTTTTCCGCAGGGGGCCAGCCAACCCAGTCCTAGGTAGTAGCAGAATTTATTTCCTATGTGTGTGGATGGATTTAATGGTCACATTTTCTTATATAAGCATGCACAGACATGCAGGGGCTAGGCCTGTCATTCCTACCCACTATGTGCTGCTTGATATGAAGCTAGGGGTCTCATTTAACAGCGTGCGTAGAACAATTCTTAAATGTGTGTATGAATTGCCAGTATGCGCAGGCAAATTGATATTTATCCCTAGTGCGTATGCGCAGCCGTAATGAAGTGAATGTTGATAAATGTGACACATTAAAGCTGTGACTGCGCGTACATGGCAAGAGTAAACAAACATCCTCCATGAACCAGATATGGGCATATAACGTACACACACACGCAAACACACGCACACACACACATGCACGCGCACACACACATGCACATACATATTGTGTGTGTGTGTGTGTGTGTGTATATATGCACATTACTATATGCCTTTGTTATTTTGTAACTGCTATTCAGAAAAAGTTTCAAAAATGTGAAGGAGGGGAAGGGAACTTCTGTGAGAATGAGGTGGAAGTTTTGCTGGACATAATAGGAAAAAAAAAAAAGGTACCGCATGGGAACGTTACCAGTGGCCTGTCAAAGAAGGAGAAGGACCTAGACTGGGGAGGGGTGACACATGCAGGTAATGTCGTGTCACCTGTAGTGAGAACAACGGGCAGAAGTGGCATGGCCACCAAAAAGCGGATCGCAGCCCACGGACCGGGGGGGGGGGGGTGTGGCCCAAGCTCACTCACGTGAGTGTCACCTCTTCAGGGTAAAATAGCTGCCAGTGTAGACGTAAGATCAGGACAGTAACCATTCCGGATAGTGACACTGACAGTGCTGCTCCATCAGGCATGGATGAGGCCAGGATTTCAGAAATAGGTAAGAGAGATGTATGGTTGTGTTTATTTTGCTGCAGCTAGTCATGCTTGTCATACAGGTTTGAACGATTGAATGCTGCAGAAAATGAATTGCGGCAGACGCATTAGTTGTCTTGTAAAGTATATATTTAGTGACGGTGATGATATTTCTTTGGGCATGGACCTTATTTGATTCCTTGTCATTAGCATGACCTGCCTGCACATACTTTGTGTGAACATAGCTAGATCATTCTGTTTGTCTGTCAGGGTTGATTATTAAGCGGGAATCTGTGTGTATCCTGTGTGTCGATTGGTTTGCTTCAGTTACTCTTCGCTACTTGGAGAGATCATAAGGCATGATCCCATATAGGCAAAGTGCCCTTTTTAAATTTAGGGATAGTTTTTGCATTGTTGGAAGTTTCTCATAAGAGGCGCCATTTTCAGCCTGCAATGCTGATCACTAGACCGGCCCCCAGACTGTCGGCTGTGACCGATTATGCCTCCCTCGTTTAATCAGGCTCACTGGGGGGTGCGAAGTTTGGTCCTGTGTGCTTCGCTCCTGCGCTGAGAGGCGCTTTATTAAACATGATAAGGGGGTAAGCTTGCATTTTCATTTTCACTGGACTGATTTGATTTAGCCCCCCCCCCCCCCCCCCCCCCCCCAAACTGAAGCGACTAAAGATTCTCAGTTTATCTTTTTATCTACAGTTGCTGTGAAAACATAAATGATGCCCTTCTAGATTCCATCCATTGTTTTCATCTGTCCTTGTGGTTTGTGATCTATTCATACCTGTTGAAATTGCACAATGAGTGCAGCACTTCCTCTTCACTAAATCGAGTTTTGCTACAGACATATTTCTGACGTTTGGCTTTAAAATTCTGTCGGACCGCTCAGGTAGCCCTTCTAATTTACTGATACTGACAGTTTGCTCTTCTCCTTTTTCTTGTTCCCCCCCACAGATGCAGCACTGGGGCTTCCTACTCCCCCTCCCCCACCTCCGCTCCCCCCCGGCTCCACTGTGACCCCTCCTGCCGGGCCCCCTCCTCCTCCCGGTCCTCCTCCGCCTCCCCCGCTGCCTCCCAGTCTGACCCCTACGGGCCCCCCTCCACCTCCAGGGCCGCCACCACCTCCTCCAGGACAGGCGCTTCCCCCCACTCCGCCCCCGCCTCCAGCCCCCCCTCTGCCCTCGGGACTCTTTTCCCCAACCACCACCCCAGATGAGAACCGGCCCCTCGCTGGCTTGGCAGCGGCCCTTGCTGGAGCCAAGCTGCGGAAGGTGCCTAGGGTGAGGAGTCAACTGATGCATTTAAATCTGGCCAGTAGGGGGCATAGCGGTTAAACAATTTAACAAATTCATTCTCTGAACAGTAGTATCAAGAAGGGCCAGACTATTGTATTATTGGCAGTTCAAAGTCTATAGTGTAACATGAGGTAATTCATGGAGGGGATAACCTTTGATTTCGGCAAATCCTGTAACTGTTTAGAATAATTCAATCCCTCAGATGTATGATCCTTCAGCGTATGATTCAATGTTCTGCCACAGGAGGTATTAATGACATTAGAAATACACTTGGGATGACCCAACTGCCCATAAAATGGATTTAGTTTGCGGCCTTCAGTGAGAGAGGGATGCAGTTTGACGCGATTCTGACCCTGCAGGCTGATGATGCACCGAGTGCTGCGGCCGGGGGGCCCAAGGCCGATGCGTCTCGCGGAAATGGACCCCTCCCTGTCACTGGTGGGGGTCTCATGGAGGAAATGAGTGCACTGCTGGCCAGGAGGTAACGCTGTAAAATGCTGGAATATGTGACCTTAACTCTCTTCTTTGTAGAAAGTGCTTTTTTTCCCCCTATTTAAATGTTACCCCTCTTAATATAAAATCACCATTTCTGCTGTGGGAAAGTTGTAAAGTCACGGCCTGATTTCTGTGTATAAACGTGCCTTTTGGTCCGTGTTCCTCGTGGGTCCTTGAGCTGACGAGGTGTTCTCTGTGTGCCCGAGCAGGCGGAGAATTGCGGAGAAGGGCTCGTCCCCGGAGCCAGAGCAGCGGGACAAAGCCGTAAGTGTGTGTGTGTGTGTGGGATGGGGGGGTCGTACCTCAGCAGCGTGATGCCAATCACGCATCTCCTGCTATGAAAAGTGCAGTCTACGTTTAACCAGCAGCCATGACCAGTACCACCAGTAACCATGTCGCCATGTTCTCCTCCTTCATAGGATGAGTCGGAGTCCTCCACTCCAAAAGTCTCTGCATGTAGCACACCAGGTGGGGGCTGCTGCTTTCATTTGTTGTTGTATTTGCTATTTACTGTGGGGGGGGGCAGCTTTGCGATGTAATGTTTATTTTTTTCCCCCCTGTATTCATGTCACCCCCAATCATGCCCTTGTCCTTGGTATTGTGCTTCCTCGATCGCATTCTCATTGGCGGCACCTTGCTAATAATGGTTTTCGCTTTGTCCCCTTTATCTGATCGACTGGGTCCTGCCTTTCAGATATGCCCCGGAAGCCGTGGGAACGGACAAACACTATGAATGGTAGCAAATCGCCGGTCATTGGCAGGTAATTCGGTTTTCTGCTGACGAGAACCTCGCTTCTGTTTAAAGCTGCTGAGCTCATCCTGCCCATCAGTGTCTTAAGGCAGTCTCTGCCAATTTGGTCCTCGGGGACCTGCAGGTGAGAGAGAGCAAAAATGTGGACCGTCTGGCAGGGAGGGAGCAAAAACGCGTCTGTGGTTCCCCGAGGACCGGGTTGGGAAGCGCTGCCTTAGGGTAATGGTCAAGTCCCTTGTTTTGCTATCGGGGCTTAGAGTTGCACTCCTGAGAACATGGATGGCTGGTAGTAATAGACCTGGGTGGGGGGGTGGCGGGGGGGGTTGGCGTCTTGTGCTTGCCCATGGCCCTGCCCGTCCGTCTTCCTTGGTGACTCAGGCTTGTTTTTGTTGTTCCATTCAGAAGTGTCAGATCAGCAGCTGCAAAGCCAAGAAACAATCTGGTTAAAACATGCAAAACACTGTAAATGTCAAAGTGCTTTACATAATTACATTAGTCTGATTCACAAGATGGGAGGCAGCCAATTTGCTTATAGTTCATTGTGTTGCATTTATTTGCTGTTTATAAAACCGCTAACATTTTTTTTTTGGGGGGGGGGGGGGGGGTTCCTTGAAAAATTGTGACTTCAGGTCCAAAAAGAGAGAAAAAAAGAGCAGGAAATTAACAAAAAGCTGTATGTAAGATGCTCATGCCTGAGGATTGGACTTAGCTGTCCTAGATGTGCAGTAGGAATAAGAGCAGGAGATGAACAGGGGGGCGGGGCCAGGACGCCTCGCTGCTCCGGGGGCGGGGCCTCGTTGCTCCGGGGGCGGGGCCAGGACGCCTCGCTGCTCCGGGGGCGGGGCCTCGCTGCTCCTGGGGTGGGGCCTCGTTGCTCCGGGGGCGGGGCCAGGACACCTCGCTGCTCCGGGGACAGGGCCTCGCTGCTCTGGGGGCGGGGCCTGGACGCCTCGCTGCTCCGGGGGCGGGGCCTCGCTGCTCCTGGGGTGGGGCCTCGTTGCTCCGGGGGCGGGGCCAGGACGCCTCGCTGCTCCGGGGGCGGGGCCTCGCTGCTCCTGGGGTGGGGCCTCGTTGCTCCGGGGGCGGGGCCAGGACACCTCGCTGCTCCGGGGACAGGGCCTCGCTGCTCTGGGGGCGGGGCCTGGACGCCTCGCTGCTCCGGGAGCGGGGCCTCGCTGCTCCGGGGGCGGGGCCCTGTCCTGTGCCCCGGCCCCCCATAAGCTGGTTTCTTCACCCTCGCAGACGGGATTCTCCATGGAGAAATCAGGCTGGTTCTGACAAGCTCTTTGACCCTTTGAACAGGTATAGGACTATGTGGGCTCTCTCTCCATGTTTGTGTGTGGTGGCTTCTTCCTATTTGGTTTAGTTTTTCTTCTTGAGTGCCAAGGCAAGCCGAGATCAGGGCTTTCCGAATGCATCGCTGTGTCACCGCAGCAGTCGTCGTGCATGACATTTACATTTTGACAGACTGGTCGACGGGCGTTTCCGTACTGCATCCTGGTGTTTGCCGCCATTATAGCTTGTCCCTTAGAGTATGGTGGTGGGGGGGCATCGTGCTGTTCCACATCAGCCATGACGTGGCATGGCCGCTCCTTCCAGTCCTGCATGCCTTGGCATTATCAAGGTCTCACCACGGCTCCTGCGAGGCTTGCTGTCAAGATAACGACCCCCCCCCCCCAGCAGCCCCCGCCCGCCCGCCTGTGCGTCTGCGTGTGTGGTGTGCGTCCTCTGAAAAGGCTCGATGTCTGCTGCTCATGAGGCAAACTGCCCAGGATGCGCAGCTGTCACCTTAGTCTAAGTTAGTCCTCATGCAAAACTTTCATTCTCAAGGCTAGATTTTAAATTTTATCGAATGCAGTCTAGCCCAGGTACCCGGTACGAGGGCTTCTCCCAGTGTTCGAACCTGCAGTCCTTAGGTCTTGGCCCTCTGCTGCCTTGTAGCCTTCAGCTGTTGGAGTTACTTTTACTCTCTGCCTCCATTCCTCCTGTTGGGGGGGGGGAGAGTCACACTGTTGTCACCCTGTGTGACGTTCCCCCGTGCTTCCCACCTTCCCGCCTGGTGTGACAGCTGGGATGCATCAGTGTGTGGTGTTATCCCACCCCAGCTCCAAACACTTGCATGCGCATGCATGCCCCCCCCTCCACCCCCAAATCTCTCACCACTGCGCTCCGTTAGTGGTGCATTTCCCCCCCGAGGTGTCGTTCAGGTTGCCATGGATGCTCGCGCGTTTACATTTCCTGCATACTTTTTTTTTTCCCTCCCCTTACTGGCACCTTTTCCCAAAACACACAGCAAAGTGGGAATCAGGTTTATTGACCAGTATCCCAGTGTTCAGACCCTCCTGCTAACCTGCAAACTTCAGCCTTGTCCAGCTCTGTTGAGGCTTGCTGACGGTACCAATGAATGGGCTGCTTAGCATCAGCATGGTGGCTGTTAACTGTGTGATTTTTATACGCAGAAGCATCTATGATGTTTACTGCTGTAGCCGTGTGTGTGTCTGCATAAGTTACCGGCAAAAAGGATTCAGTCGGTCTTTGGACATTGACTGATTAGTCTTTACACACCTGTATACATTGATTTATTTCAGAAGCACCTGAATTTTAATCAGCACCTGAAGACATTTTAATTAAGATTTCCCCTGCTATGTTTTCGTCGTCTCCAGTGTCCAATTCTGATTACGCTAATTATGGGGAAGCTTTAAAAGTGGGTGGATGTTACGTGCTGGTGCCAGAGGGAGGATCCAGATGTTCTGAGATCATTATGGTGGCCTTCATCTGGCTCGTTCCTCTCCCCTCTCTCCTTGCCCCCCTACCCAGGCCGAAGTCCACACCTACGCCAACTGGTTCCCTAAGTGCCAACGGGGTCCCAAGTGACAGTCTGGACTATGACAGACTGAAACAGGTAAGAAGGGTGTTTAAAGAGTGTGGAGTGGAGGCCTGCCAGTGAAATCAGGCGGCTTTTTAACGTCGACGGAGGTTTTCCTTCCTGCCACCTAGTTGATTGGGGGGGAGTAAAGGCTGGAGGGGGGGTAAAGGCTGGAGGGGGGGTGTAGCTGGTGTCAGGGTCACGCAAGAGGCAGGCTGGGAGACTGGGCTGCCTCAGATAAGTGGGAGGGGGGGGTCCTCAGCTGTCTGTGCTATCTGAGGGCACAGCAGGCATTCTGCAAAACGGCAGCGTGTAGAGGACAGCTAAGGAGTTTCCCCATAACGGCAGAGCCGTGTCTGACCCTGGACAAGAGTGTGTGTGTGTGTGTGTGTGTGTGTGTGTGGTCATACATATATAATATGTATGTACGTACATACGTATACACACAGACACACACGTTTGTATTCATGTCTTTGTGGGGACCAATCATTTCTGTGGGAAAGTCCCTAATCCCAACAATGACAACCTTAACCCCTAACCAGCCCTAACCTTAACCATTAGGGACCAAAAAAAAAAAACTTTTGGCATTTTTCGTTTTTTTGATTAGTTAGATTTTTTTTCTAAGATTCAGTTTCCCCTTATGGGGACTGAAAAAATGTCCCCGCAAGTTAAAAAATAACAGGTTTTTCCATTATATTTGGTCCCCACAGTGTTTGTGTGCGTGTATGCGTGCTTACGCTGCAGATTTCCCAAAAATGAGCAAAAAATTTGTAACTTTTTACCTTGTTGGGACATTTTTTGGTACCTACAATATAAACCTAAATTTTGTAAAAATAAGCAATTTAAATAAATAAAAATGTATGAATGCAATCCAAAAACTAAAAATACCAAAAGTGTTGTATTTTGTTTGGTTATTTATGGTTAAGGTTATGGCTGGATAGGTGTTAAGGTCATCATGTTGGGATTAGGGATTTTCCCATAGAAATGAATGAAGAGTCCCCACAAAGATATAAATACAAACATTTGTGTGTGTGACAGAAGGTGTCTGCAGACATAGGTATAGAGTAACCTTGTCAGCTTGGTCTTGACAGCTTTGTCAGCACGTTATTCTGCGGTAAATATTTCAGAGTGTGTGTGTGTGTGTGTGTGTGTGTGTGTGTGTGTATATACACACACATACACACACACATACACATACACACACACATATAAAAGCTGCACCATGCTACCATGAGTGTTTATGCAGAGTGAAACGTTGCTGTGGGATGCTGTGTGGTTTAGACACGGATGGCATCACGTAGCGCAGGAGTCAGAGTTATGAAAACATTGCAAGTAATTAAAAACTATTGCTGGTTGCAGTGGGGTTTGCAAAGGGCAGAATTGTGAGATGGCCGCGGTGCCGCAGAGGTCCTTCTTCTCTGGCCTTTTGTCTTTTGAAGGGTATGAGGAATTGGGAGCATTTTGCAGAACGATAATGACTTTTGGGGATTATATTGCCCTCACCTATTTGCTGCTGACACGGACATCGACTGTCCAGTGCCGTCTGTCATATATAAACACCCCCCTCCCCATAGTGTTAAAGCTTAATTTGTCGCCACAATACTTGCGAAATCCCTGAAGTTCGATCTTCTGCTGCAGGATATTTTAGAAGAAATGAGAAAGGAATTGACAAAACTGAAAGAAGAGCTAATTGATGGTAAGTCTGCAAGCTTGCAGGTAATGTGACTGGACTGGTTCCCGTTCAACTATTCATCATTGACAGAGAGCAAGTACAAAGTTATGAGTTAAAAATCGGTATTTAGACATTTGCGCTTCTGCTTTGTAGTCACTTGTGCAAAGTGCTGTTTTAAGGACACACTAATAACACTAACTATCCTGTGCCGTCCTGTGTCTCTCTGCAGCCATCCGGGAGGAACTGGCCAAGTCAAATACAGCGTAGGAGGATGTCCTTGCACATTGACCTTTCACCCCTGACCCCCTCAAGGTCGACTTCAGTTATGACAATATTTGAAAAATGAAAAAGGAAAAAATAAAAAAATCAAAGATGGTGATAACAATAATCCTATTAATGAAGAAGATACGTTTGCTAGTGAACGAAAGGAGCCAGAAAAACTAGTCTGAGGAATGGATGGCAGTTGTGGCATCAGATAGCGAGTAGTCTCTCCTCTTCTGCAGCCTGGTGGCTCTGCCGTTCCAGGGGACTCTTCCAGAGGGCAGGACACAGTCTTAAAGGGAGGGGACTGTAATTATGCAAAGGGTGACTTTCTTTGTCAATGACAAGAAAATAAGGATTACATAATCAAATAACAAAATATATACTGTATTTAATCATCACAGTGTGATAAGCAGACCATCTTCATGCTAGGAGTCTGGACGTTTCGCACATACTTGTGAACTTCTGGTGAAAGGCACGTTTAGAGGGTTAGAGCGGATGAACGGGGGAGGTGGAAGGGGGGTAGAGCTCAAATTTCTTCTGAGCCGTTGAGGAAGACTCTCTGGATGAAGGACAAATGGACTGGGTATGGTCTACTGCTGCAGGACTCTGTAAAGCTTGTCTTCCTGAAATACCCTCTTACCTAAATATGTACATTTACAAAAAAAAAAAAAACCACTGCAAGTTGTTTCTCCTTGTCTGTTCTAATGTTACCCACGGCCATATCAGGTAGCTCAATGGAATCATCTTTGGATCAGCCAGTCTCTCATTATTTTTGGCTTAGTCTTTTTTTTTTTTTTTTTTAAAAAAAAAAAAAAAAAAAAATAGGGAAAAGCCCCCTTTGGTAATTCCCGGAAATGGATGCTCACATAAATCCACAGGAACTGTGTATTTTTTATTTTTATTTTTTTTTCCCTTTTGCGTGTTCATGTTGCTGCAGGAGTGTCGAGCATAATTGCTTTCCTGCCGTACGTCTTTTTGACATTTTTACCAAATCTCACTCTTCGGTCTTTCAAGGTGTCAGTCAGCATCTGCATACAGCCAGACTGGATCTGTAGACAGTGCTCCAGAACTGCCGTTCACTTCCTGATTGATTTCGATGATCTTATTTCTGTCACACTTGCCGCATGTCCAGTTTCTGTGAGGTGAAGTTCACATGGTTGCCACGAAAACCTACTTGCTGTTGTCGTCAGCTTATGAGCAATAAGTGTCACATCTGTCTTTTGGTTGCCTTTTGTTCATAGGCTTTCTTAGTCCACTCCATCACCTCCACCCCCCAAGTTCCATGGAGCCAAGATTGACTAGATCTTTTCCCAGTGTCTGGTACAATTTGTAGACTCCCAATGGCTTCATAGACAGTGGTGTCGTAAGGGAAGGTGAGGCAGGAAGATGCATATAAAGTGGATATTCTGCATTCATAGCCATATTTAAATGTGGTCTTGTAACAGGTCTGTAATCCTGTGGTGACGTTTGTTGGTTTGGGACTTCAGAAGGCTGTGTTTGAGTGCTTTTGCTGCCTATGTCTGGGCTAAGAGCCCCACCCAGTCATGGACAGACCATTGATTTCACTCTGGAGAACCTGGTCACCTCTGCATTCATCCCCTTGAGGAGCTGCTAGTTTTCCCCATATCTCTGTTACATGAAACTGCAGTTACTTGACTGCAGCTTGTGCCATCAACAAAATATTCTCACTTTTGTAATCACTGTTGGCATTGATGTATACAGTGTTTTTGTTTCCCTCTTGCTTTCACTTTCACTTTTTAAATTCTCCGGGAGGAAAACATTTGATTTTGAATGAGATTTTTGGTATAAAACTTGTAACAATAGTTTTTGGGGATTTTTTTTTTTCTTTAGGAACTTAATTGCTTGCTTAAACAGAGTCTGCTTTAGAACATGAAGATGCCTGGTGTTGGGGGGGGGGGGGGTCATACATTGTTAATTTTAACCATAGTTATGTTTTTGTAAAGGAATTCAGATTCATCAGGGAGTTGGTCCCTTCTATTCATTGCCATAACTAATGGCCTTATCCCTCTCAATCGGTCTCATTACCCCCCTACAAAGCAAATTAATATTTTGTATATTTTTGAAGTCTTTGCTCATATCTCCATTGAAAGCAAAGGAGTTGTGGTTGAGTTTTCACTTTTTTTAACCCAGTATTTGTCTGGATCAAAGCGTCTGTTTACAGCATTGATTGCACTTCAATAAAATAAAAATTAAAAAAATAAAATAAAGCCCATACAGATTCATAGTATACTGCTTGCAAGAAATGGCTTTTGCACAGCGGCAGGGCAAGCTCACCAAAGTTCTTCACTATTTTACCCAAAATGATGCCATTTCCATTTAAGCTTTCTGTGTCTGATGTCCAGAGGAAGAAAGTGATTTCAAGTCCTGTTATTTGGAAAGTAGAGTATTTCAATCAAGGTAAAAATGCATCTGTACATGGATAAATCTGTTTGTGATCTTTATGGTTTGTGCCTTGTTCTGAAGTTGCATTTAATATGTTGATTAAAATGACTAGTAACTCTAGAAGTTGTCATAACCTCATACATATGTTTTTTTTCATTCTACAGTTATTTTAAGAGATTTGAGATTATTTAGACGCGGTTACGCAACATTGTCCTCTTCACGGCGTCTGTAATGGCGTTGCGATGTTAGCTACTCATTTGGGGGGAGTCTAAAATCATCTGTGGTGGAATGTCAAAATCATAATGCTGGTTGTGAATTTCTCTCCATGTTCTCGGACTTTCAGACTTGTTAATGGGGCTCAAATGCTTGGCTTTTAGTGCTGGAGAAATTCAACTGAATGTTTCTGAGACTCGTTATTAATCAGTTATCTTATCGTTCACCTTGTACCATACCGTTCTCATTAATTAGAATTTTCTTACATGCTAACATTGTTTTGTTTGAGCGAATGAAATAAAATTGCAATATATAACCACAGTTTTATTGGTGTGTGCGCTGTACGTGTAGCTCTTATGCTGATTTTATTTTTTTACTTTAAGAATTGATCAAAGGAAACAACAATAACGATCCCAAACGAATAACTGCCCGGCATCATTCCCCATTTCACCGCATTAAAAATAAGGTGATGGTAGTATCGATTCTTGCATACACAAACCATATAGCTAGACCCCACGTCTTATATAACACGCTTAATGCGCACAAGCTCTGGATGCGAGACGTTTTCTTGCTCCGGGGGTTAAAGGATAACCTAATTAACAAAATCGTTTTACTACATTTATATAGCAAAAACATGGGCATTTAGCTTTGTTCCAGGGGGAAGTGTTACCACCCACTGTGGTTGAGATCAGCAGTTTTGCTGGGGAAATGTGTATGGAGAGACATTAATTAATTCACATTGTAACATGGAGTCAACTGCTCCCTGTGTTAAGTGTATTTAAACAGCCGAATAAAACATGTTCCCGGAGGAGCAATGGAGATCCAGGTCTTAAGGAGGCCCATGCCCTCTGCACGCCGTTAGCGAACGGGTCTCCGAGCGGCGCTCTTACGGCTGCGGTTCCCGCAACGTGAAGAGGAAGCCATGCGGCAGGGTGCGCAGAAGACAAAGCCGGCACTCTGATTCATCCGATTGCCAAGTTAACCTGCTATTCAAGCATTGTGGGAACGAGAGAAAAAAAAAAGGTTCCGGCGTATTTAAGCTTGTATTCAAGGTCCCAGGACCTTGCACTTAGTCATTTTGCGCATTGAGACTAAATGAACATGCATTATCTCTGAACAAACTGAGGCAATCGCCGATAATGTCGACAGGCAGCCCGAGTCCCGGAGCAGAGACTGAAACTGTTGTAACGTAAGACAGGAAGGAAGATGTCTCACTGCATAGTTCACGACTCCAGAGCGCATTATGAGAATTGAAAGCAATCCAGCCGGAGGTTTTTTCCCCCCTTGTTCTTTTCCAAAATGGTTTCTAATTGCTTGAAGTTGGAGGGGTTGTAAATTAGACCCCGCGCCTCGTATACTCCATTACATCACGTACCTCAGGGGAAAGCAATTCTTACAAGCCAAGTCAACAACCTGGTTTATATCATTAATATGAACCATTCGGCATTAACTGTATATGTTAAAATATTTTAGCATTTGTTTTATTAAAGGAGGTTGGCTCATCGCCGCCTCATACATCTACCACTAGGGTTGGTTAGGGGTGCCAACTCTCACGGTTTCAAACTAAGGCTCACGCAAGAAATCTTACAGCAAATCAATATTATTGCATTATAAACCTAAAATTTGCCACATCAGAAGCCTTTTGGTAGTTTGCAAACCCTGCCGACTATTTTGAAGGAAATTAAACTGTTACATACAGGTAAATGCGTGTGCTTGTTTGTGCAGACTTGTCTTGAACTGGAAATCTGACCCAAGTTGGCAACTTTGGGTTTGGATCCCATCTCTGCTGTGTGTGTGGAGTTTGCTCAAGTCAAGTATTTATGGGCATTCATTTTGAATGTTTCATTTTGAGAATCAATTCTAAAGTGAAAATTGCGATTTGTCTTTAAAGAAACGGGGGGCTGTACTACGAAGCGGGGTTACTGTCTTATCGGGATAATTTGTCGGATTTAAGGTAGCCTGGGAAAAATGTAAGTGAAGGAATATGAAGTCCATTTAAACTGTGGTACCTTAAATTCGACAAGTTAGCCCGATAAGCCAGTAACCCCGCTTCGTGGTACAAGCCACTGGTCATTTAAACCTTTGTATTATAAAGAGCAGGTCATGAACTTCTACCAGACAGGGGGGGGGGAGAACTCTCCTCAGGTTAAACTTTACTGTTAAGTTTTGGCCAGCACCGGATAACGGGATTGGCACCTGCGTTACCAGCCTTGATACTGGATGAAATGGGATTGAAAAGAAAATCAGTGATATCACACCCTGTTATGGATTGCCATCCCATCAAATTAATTGTTTCGTGTTTGACACACTTAGGGGAAAACTTCTATATTACAATATATATAATGTTTCCTCTACACAATTATCATTGAGTCCTATATATCGTATGTATATTAAAATATCCAAGTTTGTACTGAAAGAAACATGCATTTAGCTATTTAATGGAACTGGGAAGTAAATAATGGACGACAGTCAGCGTTGAACAGCAGTTGTGTAATGAGCAGGTGCCCTGCGATTTAATCACATTTTGCTGTTCATCGATAGAAAACAATTTTTATATTCAAGCATTTCAAAATGTTTATTACATTTCGATTTTCATCCAAATACAAAAATGCATGCACAATAATTGCTATTAAACAAGCTTAACGGCAGTGTCGTGTACTTTAACCCGTATTTTCACTCTTGCTTCAAAAAGGAATCCCCTAAAATCCGGAAGCACGCGAACCAGAAGTTAAATCCATAACGTTACCCTCCTCGTACAATCACATCGTGATGTCAGTGAAATTACTGACGTATCGACAATGAACTTCACTAGCTCAGCACTAGCTAATTGAGCAAGCTGAATAATCCAGGTAATTTAGTAAGAATAAATATTCCAGTAATTATTTTCGTGCATCTAAATGATGTGTTTCATTTTTAATTCAGTAAAATATCAGTTAACAAACAAAAACAGTTATTAATTTGTAGTAAAGGTGCCTGATCATGAAAAAAACAGCTTGGTTTCAGATCGCTTTTCAGAAGGGTCACAAGCTGTCAAACGTCAGGCGCCATTTTGTTTCAATGCATGAACTGACATCATAAATAAAGAACAAGGGCCTACCGGTTTTGGACGGGGCTACCAGCCAATCATAACTAACGTTAGTGTCTTCCTTAGCGAATCAGAAAATTAAATAATTTAAAAACAAAATACTCTCAGCCAATCACCAAACTTCGCGCCACTGTGGCCATTAACGTTTGTGGATCTGGAAGACGCGAGAGGGAGGAACTTGTGCAGTATTTAAAATTATTTTTATATTCATATTTAGAGAGGTACTCTGTCATTTTGTTTCGGAACAGTTTTCTTCACACGTTTTGTTAAAGGTAAGTATAACTTTATTTATAATGTGTATTGGCAAAAATGGTCACACAAAAAGCTTTGTCGTGACCTCTTTTGTAGTCCGACAGCTAACTTAGCGGGGAATTATTGGCTATTGATTATCAACTCTTGTCTGCTGCACTGAAATTATTATGTTTAGTGCTTGTCGTAATTTATGGATTAAATTCGCTTAGTTATATTGTTCCGGGTGACGTAAACGCCGTGAATCTTTAAATCCCATTTGGGTGGTATTCTGTCGTTTAACTTGAACCTTTGTGTTTTCACGTTCATAAATTTTGATTTACGCTACCGATGATGATAATGGTGCGGTGTATTACACTAACCTATAGGACCTTATTATACGCCGGATAGGTTATTGTCTCCTTGAAACTGGACTTTGTCTTATGACCCCGCAACTACCGTCTTGCAAGATGCTCTAACCTAAATACTGACATTTTAAAAAGCAGTTTTGATGGGTTTTTTTGCCCGGCATCTCCCACAGCAGCTACTTCATGTACGTTTTCGTTCACACGCGGTTTTGCTTTTTGCCACTTAACACAGTTTTGAATATATGACGTTTTCCCTCCATCCCGCTGTCAGCCGGTATTGTCATTAAAGGAACAGCATGGCCATCGTGCGCGGCCGCGCTTTAGTCTCATCTCCATGGGTTACTTTTTATTTTGTGTACCGCCGATTAAGATTATAATTTAGACAAAGCGCGTCAAATGTTTGTTTTAATCATAATCCCAATCTGGTGTTCTGTTACTTTGCTAATGGAAATTATAGTGAGAACCACAGTCATGGGCTGTTAAAACTACTCAGCTAACTTACTGAGATGATAATAAGCGGAATATAGTCATAGTGCGACCCACCAGCGGAAACGCACCATTTTCAAACGATCTCGGCTAACCAAAAAGCCGAAGTCAACCGCGTAGGTATAAAAGTCAGTAAACTTGAACAACGCTACAAATCCATGTTTAAAAGCCTTTCACAGATTTTAAAGACCTGGTAGAATTTAATCAAAGCAGTTTGGCGGAACGTCTAATTTCATTTTAAGTGTTCTGTCGGCAGTGGGCGGTTATCCCAGGCCTGACGCTTTCGCTTTGTCGTAGTTACGCACTTAGTATTTATCAGTAGGGGGGACCGGGCTGATCCGCTTAAGTGTGGGCTGGCGCTTTGGTATATCTTCAAATATTTGTCGGATCCATGCTCCAGATCGCACTACCCGATCGTTTGACATTTGTCGCTAGATGAAATTAGCCTGAAAAAGACAGCGCAGCGTTGGATGTACCCAGCCCGCTCACTAATGCAAAAAACGGTTCCAGTTCTACGAGCAGGTGTAAAGGGTGAGATCTGAGCTGACCTGGATCTGGATAGTGGTACGGATAGATCACGAGCAATTACATTTGACCGTTTTTGAAATTACAAGGACCGATAATGTTGTTTTGAAGGAAGAGTGGTTGGGCGCACCGATGAGTTTGCAAACAAAGGGACATGAACGAGTCGTGGAAATGTTAGCGCCCCACCCTTCTCCGCTCGGCATCCTTTAGTAACTAGAGCCTTCCCTTTCCCCAGCTGGGGTCGCGCGCGCCCCTGACCCGTGCGGAGTTTGGCTTCGACACTGTTTACACAGCAGATATGTTTTCTTTTGTATAAGTTTATGTGATTTTAATGGAGAATTGATTTATTTTTTCATCCTCCCACGCCTAACGACTGGAGGGGACGTTGTTTTTGTCTGGTGTCCTCTATGGAATTAAAAATGACGATTTTTCGTCAGATTTCGTTCTACTTTTGCCAGATCTGTTTGAGTGTGATTACATTCGTGTTTTAAAAAAAAGTGCTTGTGATTATAATTTCTGTCTTAGCCTGATGCCTTTCTATATTCCATGAATGTTCATATTGTTGCCCTTCTGGTCATTGAATTATTAGGTTCTTGCTTTGATGAAAAATGTTGAGCAGCACTTGCTGC